GTCATGTGTAATTTATTTCAGTTGAAATTACGATTTATAACAGTCGATTGCATTCGTTAAATGTGTTTCCACGTGTCGCGTTGTTGACAGGTTGAGAAGTACTGTACGTGGTCACGCTTACAATATTATAGCATAAGCATGATTTATTTCGCTTGGGTGCAGAAAATGTGTAATAACAGATGGTCGAAATATATCTGCAAAATTTCTCCTAATATTGGTATACCGCGTTATTAACAGCCTGTTCGCGGTCACGCTAGTGATATCGCTACACACGTGTAATTTATTCCACTCACAGAAGAAATTTATAATAATTTGTCATGTCTCTCATTCTTTCTCTTTCGGTCAAATGTATCATGGATATGTAAAATTGCCAACAGAATTGTACAAGTAGTATTTTATTTCTTCTGAGCCTGATTTATATGTTCTAAATATATGTCCCAGAATTATAAACGACAAATAAATAAAATAATTTTATAAAGAATTACTTAATTACAAGTTCTCTCATATAATTTTATATTGAAAAAATCTTGATTCTACATTTTATAAAGATATTCCGCGTTTCACAATTGTGTTCAGTTCTAGTTAATTCTGGGACATTTATCTGCGAGTTGTTCCTTTTCTTAATTAGTAAATAATGTTATTAATAGGTTGAGGAGCACTGTTTGCGATTATGCTCACGATAGTACAGGATACGCGTGATTTATTCCGGTTGAAATTTGTGTTAGCTGAGAGAAGCGTAACTGGAGAATTTAATTTGCGCAGACAAGCATCGGCTCTGAATGAGCGCAGCAACGGACTCCGTACTTCGTTGGTCGCTGCATGGGAATAACACAGGTTAACCGAGTAATTTCAACGTTCGAGCTAATTATGGCCGTTAACCACTTAACTTGATTGATTAATTAGAAAGCACGTTTTTTCTCGGTCATGCGTCACGCTTGGAGAGATTGATCACCGGTTGTGCATTTTTGACTTAGGTTGGACAAATGACTGATTATATTGTGTCCGAATGTTTGATTACGCAAATATATTTATGATAAAATTTTAGAAATTTAATTTATTTCTTTTGTATCTAAATATCAGAATTAATGTATTCGACGAAAGAAAAATGAATCGTATATTTAATGTAGTACCTATTTAATATTATATATTATGCATACACATATACTGATTAAAGGTTCGACGTTGTTTATTTTTTCTCTCTTTTTAAAAATCAAATTTATAAATAAATTTATGTTTACGTAACTCTTTTAAATTCTACGCATCAACAGATGCATCGAAATAACTCACTACGTATACTGCATAAAGTTTTGCATATGAAAATTCCTAAACTATATCGTAAAGTTAAGATAATTGTGAAATATTTGTCACGATAAAACAAATTCTATGTCTTTTTCTAAAATATGAACTCCCTCAATCATATTATTTTCTACAACTATCACATTTCGCATCTTCTCGAAATCGCTGACGAGAAAGGAATGTCATCGCGGTGTGCAAATAAGCTTGCACGAATGCGAGACGTGTGTTTACCGCGCTAAAAATCGACGATTGCCGGTTGCAACGATCAGGCTGGTTAAACAGCCTTCTGCCATTCGTCTGTTTATCCGTCTCCCTCCGGAACAATTTTTAAAAATAGTATGCAACAGGAAACTATTGTCTGACTGATGCCGTAGCTGGCGGAGAATATTTATCGTAACAACCTTTGATCCGCGTCATGAGCGCAAAATTTATTTCCTCGACTTGCGATTATTCTCGGTATGCCAGAATTTTCATGTTGACCAATAGTATTCTCGGGATTATTCTACACAGATTCGGATAAATTTAACTGTTCGAGTAATACAGATAATACGGATATTCGAATATGTGAAATTAGATAATTTGAAAATCGGATTAACTGGATATCAATATTATTTATATCAAAATTAAATCCGAATTAAATTGATAATCCTAGACTGCAGCATGTACTGAAATGAGATATAAAGACTCAACTTGTCCCGTAAATAACGAAGATGATAAGTAAAAGCGGGGAATAAACAGGCGCGCGTTTATAATCGCAATCGGGTGTAAATAACAGGCGGAGACAATACACGAGGTTTATTGCGCGGCACGTATTAATGAGTTTGTTTTCGAGCAAAACATTCACAGCAGCGCACCGCCGCGATTTTTTTCGGTGTTTATTTTACATTTTACGCGTTGGAATTTATTAAACTACCTACACTCTGAGGAATTTATGCGGTTGTTTCGCCGGCGACAATGCGCAGCGTCGCATCAGAAGTATACAGGCATTAATGAAGATTCCGCGGTGTTTTCTATCCCCTTGCGAAAAAATGAGGCTGACTCACATCGAGATCGACGTAACGATTTGTACGTCGTGACCACGTGTGTGGTTCCGAGAAAAATCAATCTTCCGCGAATCCGCCCGCGGTCGCGGTAGACAACAAAGACGATGACGATATCTGTACCTCGAAATGCAAGCGAGGAAAGTAATGTGTGCCTTTATAATGGCTTATACACTTCTCATGCAAGATATTGTTTTGCGCTGAACGCCGACGTACAGTGGCTCACACGATACGATTCTAAGATACAGGCTGTATCAGAATTCATCACACATCTTCAAATTTTTTGCGTTAAAATAGGCTTAAAATCACATTGCAGCAGAATTTATTAAAACGCTTTGCAATTAAATATAACATTTTAAGATAGATAATCAATATACCACGTATATTTTACAAACAAATATGTTTTAAGTTGAATGTTAAAATATTTCTAATAAAACAAATAGCATTTAAACAAATTTTTTAAATAAATACATGGATAAAAAGATGCAAAATGTATGTATAAATATCTAAAGAATACAGATATCAGAAGAAAGTTCAAATGCATCTTATTTGGATATTGTTCTAGCACTAATTTCTCATAAGCTTGAATATCACACATGAATCATATGATTAGACAGCTCTCATCCCACCCGCACGAATATCATATTAATATCCCCAGCATCCTATAGTACAATAAAGCTTTAAATTGAGTTTATTGTACTAGAAGGTCATTACATACATTCAGTCACCTAATTATTTGAATACTAACTAACGATACAATGCAGAACGTCAAAAAGTAAAAATTTAAGACCTAGAGAGCACACACGTATTGTTCTAAACTGATTAAAATTTGCTGAAATTAATGTAATCTAAGAATCTAAAAATTAACCTTATCAAAGTTAAAACGCAATTTTTGATTCTTGTAATAAAAATGACTTGTTAGTTTTATTCATCACATATGGTGATGATAAACAAAGGATTATCTTATCATCTTCCTTTAAAACGTAAATATTACGCATTGTCAAGCAGCATTTAAAAAAGACTTTTAATGAAAGATGAATACGATGTCTGGTGAGTCGTCTGGTCTCCTCCTTTCCCCCTCTCGATTTAAATCCGCTAGGTCTTTTATAAGGCCGTATTAAAAGCTAAGTGTTTGTCATCGAAACATAATGTACAGTACCACAATGAATAGAAAATAAATGTGAAGCAATGCAAATAAAATAAAAAACTTTTGCAAAAGTATGCTATTATACGAAATAGAAATGTGAAGCATAAGAAAAAGAGCATATAAAACATCTTTTGTGGTCATCAAAGTAAAAATATGATAAGATAATCGTTTGTATATGTCATGCACAATAAGTACAGGCAAGCAAATCGTCTGTATTGTAAAAAAAACCGAAAATTGTTAGAATAATTTTCTAAAATTTTTTGTATTCTAAACAGTTTTCACATACAAAGCACAGTTCTTCCCTCTTTTCCTTAGTATTTATATAAATAGTTAAGTCGTATGATGTGATGTTGAGAAAAAAACCTTGCCTCAGGTGTGTGAAAACATATTTAGAGTTACCACAACATTATATAATTTCTATCATTTCATGTCAACACAGATTTTTTTAGACTTTTTTTTTACTAATAACGTCAATATTATCATGCGACAGTTTACATGTGACACAAGTAATTTACGGATGGCCGATGTTGTTTTATTCATCGGCTTAGAACGATACAATATTATTCAATCCTAAAATTCGTATAAGGTAAATCCTAGAGGAATATTTTAGTATAAGAGAAATTTTAGAATACGATTGCTCATCCAGTATTCCTGACTTTTACATAAATATTCTGTATCTTTGACCTGGCATTTATCGCATGGATCTTGATAATCTTACGAAGGCACGTGTAAACGTAAAATAAACAAACGTAACTTCAATATACGTACTTACACTTCCTCTGTTTAGTGCTAAATATGAATATTACAGTCCGTTCGCGATAACACACTGCATTTGTATCTTGATAGCAAACAAAGTAAGGCCAGAAGCAGACGCCAATTTTTAGTGCTAAATGCAGAATACGAATACATACTTATGAAACATTCTCGGAAGGTTCCGGTGTTTATTTTCCATTCTTAATAAGACGTTATAACTTTAATAACGACGTTACGTGATAAGATAAGTTGAGTACGATATTGAAATAGGAACGGTTTGTTTATCACGCGTCTACGAAACGGGTCGAAAAACCGCTATCGCGAGCATTTTAATTGTACGCGGGAATCTCGTCGAAAATCTTACTGCGAGACGCAACGTCGCGATCGTCGTAATCGGCGTTTATCGGAACACCGAAAATCGAGCGATAATCACTGATGCAATGAAGCGGGAACACGACTCGTTGCCAATTATCGATTTAATGTGTCAAAAATGTGTCGAGTGCCATGCGGGAATATTCCTCGAAGGAATTTCCGCATCGGCGACTGGCATCCGTCCAATCGGCGGCCACGCGCTTGGACGCGGAGAACGCGTCCCGCTCTTTTGCGTGTACGTAGCGGCTGTTCTTCGCGCGCCGAGTCGACTCGCACGAGTGTGAGCGACGCGATCCAATGAGAAAGAGACAGCATGATAAGAGGAACGAACGAGAAAGAGAGAGGGGAGCGCAAGAGATGAAAAGAGGTTTTCGCGCAGTATTCTCCCTTACCTGCGACTCGTAGCCGTGTCCAGCATGGTAATCCAATCCGGCGCGATGGATGAAGGGTTATCTTAACATCCCCGCGAGAGAATCCCGATGACCGGATAGTGAGAAGTCGAGGAATTCCACCGGATGCTTTGCACCGTCTAGTACCCTTCGTAATAGGGTACTCGAAATCGCACGGTCCACCGGGACCGATCCCGCGCGCGCCGAACGGCTAACGGAGCGACGACCGCGAGAGACGAAAAACAAAATCACTCCACTAAATTGTTAATCTGAGGGCGCGCAAACGCGCGCGCGAGAGAGAGAACGCGGAAGGACGCCCGCGCTGGCGCGACGTAGACGCACCACTATCGTAGAGAGAAAGAGACAGATAGAACGCGAATCTGCTGCTTTTCCGTTTTCCGGGTTGCGCGGACTTTCGAAACTTTGCGAGACACTTTACGAGAGCGCGTGCTGCTGTGGCGCTTCGATGCGGAGAACACAAAAAGCGGGAAGCTCGCGTGAGTCTGTCGCGTAAACGTTGATCACAGGAGACTGAGCGTAGCCGTCGCTTCCTTTTTCCTCGCGTACTCGATTCCTCGGACTGGCGCGCTCTCGTCACGACGATCGGTTCACACTCGCTCGTTACTCACGCGCGTATACCACCGTACGTAAGCAAGGGCCGCAACATACTGAGCGAACACATGATCCGGTGGGGCCTAGTGCCAATACTTGCTGTGCAGGGGGCGCCACTGCGCCGAACGCATCGTATTAGTAAACGATTTGTCGATCGTGATCCTTTCCTTCGACGCGACACGATCTTTTCTTTCGACGCGATGCGTATAATAGTTTGTCGTGATAATTCCGGACAATTGATGCCACACAAATTTTATGCATTAATCTTTATATATGTATACTTTGTTGTTGTCAAAATAAAGAATTCATACTACAATAAAATAAAATGTTTCGGTACAAAAATTCGTTCACACCAGTATGAGTTATTTCAAGCAAAACAGGAAAACTCATAGGTCATTTAAAAATAAACAGATTGAAAAATTATAAATGTTACATAAGCGTAAAATTGAGAAGAGTAAAAGTTATACATAATAACATGTACTGTAAAACTAAAATTTACTCACCAGCCGATAACGCGCCACTGTAATCCATTAGTTCCAAACAGACACTTATGTAGCTTTAATTGTCACTTACGATAGGACTAGTAATTTACACACGATACTAGTGAGTTTTACAAATGCGAAACAATGTACATTGAAAAATGTGGCACACAACAATGTCTGATAAAGTAACATTATTAACCTGAAAATGCCGAGCGCGAATATTTTCGGAAAAGCTAATTATCCACTTGTTTTAATAAATAATGCGAAACACGACAATCAACCGTAATAGATCAACACTTCCGTCATTTTCAAGAGACATGTATAGTAAAAAATTCGAAAAACGAAAGTAACTTCACGTTGATGCTCGAAGGCAATGTGACGAGTGATACATTATACGACACAACCATCGCGGTTGATGAAAGATCGCGATTATACGAGTTAATTAATACTCTATGCGACGATCACTCACCGCTGGATTCGATCTTTTCAAAACTAGCTTGTACGGAATTTACTTTCAAACGCACGTAAGACACAGAACAACGCTCGTTCACGTCCGCCATCTCTGTCATTGTTCCGTGAACTAAGCGACTGAAAAAAATAGATCTCGTGACGTCACGTTCATACGATGATCACATGTCACATTCAAATTTTTAAAGCGGCATATTTAAATATAATTATTTATGTTTAAATTTTTATTGTCCCTAAATTGTGCATCGGTTAGTGATTATATGTGTACGTAATTATTTCATTATGTATCTTGAAATGCACGAGCAAATAATATATTAATTCTTTATTTACAAATTATTTACAAATTATTTTTGTATTAAAAATGAAGAACACAAGAAAATTTTAAAGCTAAATTGCACGATGCAAGGCAAAATCTTGCAAGGAAAATTATTGTTTGAAGTATAACTATTATATTGAATATTGCAAGTATATTGAATACGTTAAAATTAATATTTTTTATTAAATGTTCAAAGATAGAATAGTAACATTATATAAATTAATTATATATTCTTTCTATTTTTATTCCTACGTATTTTATATATTTCTATTACGAAAACAGAAGTTAAAACCTTAGAAGTATCGCTCGAACCTCTCTTTTATGTTATTGTTTACATCGCGGAGTCTTTCGCGCCCGGCTTTCCTGGAAGGCACGCCTTGTACCCAGCGCTCAACGGTCCCTCCTTTGTTTTAAAGCGCTAACTTCACTTCGATGTTGTCTCGCGTTCGTTTCTTGTGTTTCTCGTATCTTTTTACTAATCGAAAATAAATTTTATGTAAGAACGAGTGTCGGAACTGCCGAATTGAACGACGGCCAAGCCATCTCAGTGCATGTGTTAATTGATTCATGTAATTGCGATTCAGGTGTTTTGCTAACATTTATAACATTAATATAGCGTCGAAATAACCTCTCCATCGAGACATTTTATATGATGGATTTCGAAAACTCCAGTTTACCAAAATGTAAGTGAATTAGTAAATAATTAGTTGATTATAACATTTCAATTTTACCGAACAAATAAATTATTGATTATTTATGTTGTAGGTTTTGTGTACTCGGCTTTTTTAACAGCACGTAAGAATGTGCTTACAACAAGAACAATTGATGGAGCGTTCGAACGATCATTGAAAGTGCTGAATTAAACAATTGTCTTATTGTCATTATACTTATTGAGCGCGATTGCGGTTAATGCGACTTTCGATATTTGTAATAATTAGTGAAATTTTAATTCTGGAAAAAGTGAATTATACTTAATGTTCGATCGGAAATGTATAATATATTTGAACAAATATCGTGGATGTTAGTTTTTGTCAGAAACGCAATCGGAAAGCATCAAACGGAACCGTCGAAAAATCGCCATGATAGATTTATGGAGACAAATAACGGTTCTTTTTTGAGATATTCGTCGCGTAATTTTCTACTAAACGCATAAATACAGCGTCATTAATTTGCATACGGCAATCGAATCGTGATTATTACGCGTTTTTGCATTCAGTTTTCGCGTTTAGTAAATCGATTAAATTTTAGTTTTACGGGATGTGCGTGAAATAGTGAATTAGTGAATTAGTGAAATAGTGAATTAGTGAAATAGTGAATTAGTGAAGTAATAAAGTGCATAGGAATCAACGCCGTATCCATGAGGGTGATTGTATGAGACGAAAAGCAACTGAGAGCAGAGAGAAGCAAAGTGGTGATCAGAAACAGAAAGGAGATAAGATATGGAACAACGACGCATCAATTGGTGAGTAAATTTGTTTATTATACTTGATGCATTATTGTTGATTCATTATTGTTGATTTATTCATTACTTTATGAAAAAGATGGCAGCAATGTTTATTTATTTTCTGACTGGTGATTTAATTATATTCGATAATTGTTCGATAATTTAATAATTAAAACTATAGATAACAGCAGGTTAATAGAATTTCTCTGATATCATATATAGCACTATGTATTTTAAAGTGAGTAATGTACAAAATATCTAGCCATTACAAGTGATATTCTTAGATGTAGCCCTGAAACGATGATACAAGATGATCATTAATTAGCGCTAATGTAATTTCATGCGTAATTCCGGAAAATCTCATGGTCAGTACAAAGAAAAAATTAACAATTATTCTTGGAAATTCATATATTATATATTAGTACATTGTATACACCATAGAAAAATTCGGTAAATTTACATAACTAAGATGTAAAAATTATATGACAAATAATAAGGAAATATTTTAAGTAAATAGTATAAAATTTATGAAATTATGTGAATTTACATTATATATATTTAGTAAATTTCTGTTATTTATTGTGTAATTTTTACATTTTAGTTGTGTAAATTTACCAATTTTTTTGCAATATATAAAAAGCACCAAACGTAGTTAGAATTAATTAATAGAATCTTACAATAGTTTCTTATAATTTGAATCAAAAGCAACTTTTTATACTTTAAAACATTTACATTTTGCACATCCTGAGATGTTCAACTAGTATCAGGAACAATTTTTTCTTGAGTTTTCTCAGATGTCTTTAAATGCCAGCTCACATATTACCTCAATTTAGTCTTATTTGAATGAATATAGAGTTTCATTTCGTGTTAATTGAATTTGCACGAAAAATCTCATGTTCGTAAGAAGTTGCGCGAATTTGAACACATCAACCGAGAGATCTTATAACGTGTCGGTAATTTTCCAGGCATAGTATTAAATATACACGACATTTTCAAGGTCTTGGCTTTTTTAGTACATTAACGCACTCGATTATTTGTCGTCTGCATAATTTTAGCACGTTCGATGATTAATCCAGTCGATTTATATTTATCTGAATTGCGATGGAATATAAATTAAACAATATACAATATATATACAGCCTACAATTTTATATTAGAAAAATATTTTGCCTTGTTTTAGAATATATTTATAAGTAATTTATTTTTAATTTACATATTTTTTGAAATTGCTACTATTAAGTAGTTAAATTTTGATGAACGAGAAAGAGTTTCATTTACATCACACGCGACTTTTCTTACAATGATAGGCGCGATACATGAAATATTTCGTCACACGCTCTTGCGGTCATATCGAAGATATTTTTAGAAAGTTAAAACTTTATGCTTATCTCGCTTCGCGCCGCGGCTATCATCATTACCACGCTTTTCAGTACTTTTTTTGTACAATTTTACGAATTTTCTATCTATGAGTCCCGTCTTTGTTTGTCTCCGCATTCCAATGCCGCATATAATTAGAAAGCATTAAGAAAATAATTTTATTGCTCGTAATGTCGCTATGTCTTTGTACATATTCATAATATTATAGTGATTGATTCGAAGAATAGAAACCGTTGACTGCTGCTGACGTAATATTGTGTTAAAGTAGTTATACTTTTTGTGTATGATAATAGCAAAAAAATCTATCTGTAGTTTAGAAACAGAATAAAGCTAGGGAAATTATTTATATTCTTTTTTTAACTTTTGAAGAAAAATATTCTTTTTAACAAAACAAGTTTAATATTTGTAAAAAATTATTATATATTGAAGATAGATTAGTCAATTTTCAGAACTATCTTTACTAGCTAGCCATAGTTATTTTTTCATAAAATAGATTTTTGATCACATTAATTAATGCATAGAGAGAGATTATTAACGCAATCAATTGTAAGCAAGGAAAAAAATATGAAAAAATATGGAAAATTAAAACATTTACTAATTATACTATCGATAGTTTTTCTCAATCAAATTTCGCGATATTTTCTGTTTATTTTTCATGCGCTGCAACTTGTTGCATATATGCAAAAATACTTACAAATCTTACGACATATTCGGCGATGAACACGTATATAGGTAAGATGTATACTCATTTACACTCTAATTGTTTGCAAATCCATAGTCTGTTGAATGTAATCTTATTTACGAGTCGAAGTTAAGCGGCCTAACGCTATTTGCTTAGTTTCGCTGAGAGCGCGAGATACTTTGCTTTCCGAGCACGTATGGCAAGCGCGATTGACAGTCGTATAAGCACGGTTTTACATCTTTGACGCCGTTGTTATGTAGAAGAAGGTTGTCGAGATTATACGAGTTACGAGACCATTTGCCAAAATTAGAAATAATTCCCTCAAATACAATACAATGATATTAAAATAGGACAGCTTAAGAGATTTTGTTTTAAGATTATTTTTATGACCAAGTCCAAGTTGATATTATATTTAAAGTTTAATATGTTAATTTAATGTCATATTTAACGTATTACAAGAAAATTTGTAGTTATTTGTCGTCAGTAGTATGTTCTCAAAATATTTTTGGTGTAGTTTATTAAATATATTATTGTTGACAAATCAAATGTCACAATTGTCGTCCTAAGCGGATATTATTAAAATATAAAAACTAAATATAAAATTTATGCATATTCTCGTTTTTCGACTATTCTGCTATATAAACATCGTGATTGCACGTGTGTTAAAACGTGGATGAATAATGAAAAGCGATTATGAGAGGCGTCATTGCATTTCAATGAGAAGATAGTCTTCTCCCCGGTATGATAACTTTGTGAAGTCGTATTATCACGACTAATTGTGAATTTATTTTCGTGGAATGCAAGAAAAACCAGAAGATATTGTCTTATCTTTTTCTTGAAACTGCTAGATTTGAAAAATTTTAAGATATAAAAATAACGATTACCGCTAAGTAAACTGAAAATGGGCGATTATCAGGCACTGGAAAAGCTTGCATAATATTAATTTAATCTTTGGAAACTAAAAGAGAAAGAAAAGAAGAAAATAAATCTTCTGGGAACCTGTTGGCTTTCACAATTAAAAAAACGATTTTCGATTCTGTTACGTGCGTGACGCATGTATGTCGAAAAAAACGGTCTTCTATCTACATATTTCGATTAATTTTATTGGCGTCTTAATTTATATCTTTCTTGATTTTATTATCTCCGTATAAGTTTTTCAACGTTTAAAGTTTTTTTACTCCTTTTCTGTCACTATTATACGTATCGAGTATCTCGAGGAAGCATTTTATAGCCAAACTAAACGATGGAATGCAAATGGAATCATTCATCTTTAATTTGTTGGCAACTGATAACTTTTGATATTGACCTCTGCGTGATAATTAAGGATTGTAATTATTAAAAATTAATATTAATTTACTACGGTGCAATTATTTATAGTACACAACCACAGTTAGCAACAGTGACGTAGATGACGACGCGCAGAAGCGCCGATTGGCTGCTAAACAGCTGCTATCTTATCTTTTTTTCTGTGAGTGTCAACATTTGGCGCTTGTCATGTATGGTATATACTTATATTCGCATCGGTTATTGCTGTGTATTACACGCATGAATCTTTCCCATATCTCTTTCGTGAAGATTGAAGACTTTGATTTTGTGACAGCATCAGAAAAATATAAATTAAATTTTTCTTTAATTTCAAAAACTTGAGCGGAAATTTAATTTACACCAGTGAATAGGCAGTCTCTAAGAATCTGTCACTAACTGTCGAAGTCAGATTCCATATAAAACATACATATTTGTATAAAAAAAATATTACTCATTGTACTGCACTATATTTTATGCAACACGAAAATTCTTAAATATAATTTATGCAGTCAAATCTGTATTTTTAATAATACAAAGTTTGGCTTGGTTAACCGGAATAATTTATCGTTGTAAAAACGGATTTCAAGTGATCAAGTGATGATACATAATCTTAAAGTAAATTTGTGACTCTGATTGGCGTTATCATGCCCGAGGCGAAGAGATTCAATGCGGAACGTGACTCGCTCCGAGGAAGCCGAGTTCGCTCACCGGTCAAGCAAATCGTGCCGATGGAAATCAGGCTAAATGACAACGATGTCGGTCGCGTCGCGATCGAACGTGTCGAATCGTGGCGACGAGTTTATTTTGAGCTCTCGGCCTAAGCGCGCATATCTTATGTAAAGTAACCGCATGTGCGTGGACAACAACTCGTTTTCGTCGCAGGTGCGAGCGAGCTCGTTACGAAGAGATACAATCGCGTCTCGTCGCGTTGTCCTACGGAAGGAAGTTTTCAAACTGCGCTGCGCGATACGATAGCCGATCGCCTTTTCCAAGCTCATTCTAGGCATTCATTGTACTGACAAGAAAAAGATCGATCGACACTTCGATTAGGTAACGAGCGTTTTTCGTCCCTCGCGATACAAGTAAGCACGCGAAGCGCGTCGCGTCGTGCCACGGCGAACACATCGTCAGTCCCGCATGATATTTCTTTTTTTTACCACCGTATTGTTTCTACGACGGATGAAGATAATTCCGTGTCTATAAATAGACGCGACTGGCAGAAGGAGAGCCTTATAAAAGCGTGTTCTAGAGATCGTCACGCTCGAACATGGAGTTAAAATAATGCTATGTCCCGGTGATGATTAATATTAACATATTAAAGTCCGGTTATTAGTCACTTTAAATGTCCAAAAACATCACGTGATACGCAGTGCATAGCAATAAACTTTGTATTTGTATAATTCCTTATTAAATTCAGTACTATGCAAGTTTTCGTAATTGTTAAATTTCAAAATAATATTCAAATCTTGCAACATGTCAAAAATCAAAAGTTACTTTGTAGAAAATTGCATTCTAACGATTTATATTTTAGTACACGAAATTTATAAGATCTATTCCAAATTTTGCTGAATAAAAAACATGATTTATAATTTATAATTTTATTTGAAACATTGCATTGTATTTTGATACATCAAAGAGTTGTTTCGCGACTTTAGCTTTCATCTAAGTTTTACCACGTAAATATATCGCGTCGTGCAGGGAGCTTAATGCGCGCGTGTCGCCGACTCAGACTTTCGTTCACGAGTATATGCAAAGAGTTTTGCAACATTGTTAACAGCGACGCTCAGCGACGTCGTTCTCAGGGGGGCAGATATATCATTTGAAAATTACGGCGCCGCTTGCAACCTGTACAAACAAACGGCTATTACGTACCGTTATACGATATAATCGTGCTTGACGTCAAATATTAAATGATTTCGCTGCGTGAATCCGGACTGTTCAAATTGTTCGACTTGATTGAATGATGGCCACTGCTCTAAGTTGGCCGACAACCACTTCAACGTAAATAAGACGGTACCCCATTCTGTATATAAAAGTCGCCTCGTTATACAGGGTGTCCGCTTGCTCGAAGCGAGTCATGTGATAGATTTTTATAAATTTTGTACAGCGAAGTCGACATTTTAGAAACCGTTTGAGAAGCATTTAATTCTATACTATAATTATACTGTCAATATCGATTTTGATTCTGTTCTCTCTGAGCTGAGTATTTAATCGGCTTCTATTTAAGCGCGTCATGATTTTTAACGATTTGCGTTTTTTACGACGATTATTTGCTGGCAGGTAAATTACTTATTGAGTAATAAATAAATTTATCGAAATTAAATTGCGTCTTTAACACAGTTTTATTCAGGATATCGGTTTTAATTGTCCCGATTAAATTCAAGTTTGCCGCAACCGCCTGGGTAATAAATTTAGGAGTCAGTTTTGTATTTGCACGACTCATTCGTACGTAGGCAATGGCGGGACATATCGTCGCCGCTTTTGTCATCACGCGTTCTCGAGATGTAATGAAGTGTGCAAAGAATGATTTTTCGTGGCATATTTTTTTCGTAATATTTAAAATTTTACAATTAAATTATTTTAAAACTTTTATCATTTAATTTTCTTCAATTTTGTGATTTTATAAGTCAAAGTGTTTGACTATTCTGCATCAAAATATAATTGTGCAACTTATGTTATATTTACAATGCATAAATAAATTGTTTTTGCATTGTATCTTTGCAAATACAGAAGAGATATTAAATTTAGCAAATACATTTTAATTAATTATAGTATGGATTATAAAAATGTCAGGTGTTTATTATTAATTAATATTTTTATTACATCTTTGTTACAAGATGTGTTCTAATTTAGTTAATAAAAATTACTTTTGCTTTGCTAATCAATTCGCTACTAAAACAGTCAGATATTAAAGTGTGATATAAGAAGATAGCACGTTGCTCCTAAAAGATGAGAACTTGATATACATTCGTGTATACATGATACGGTACGAAGGTTCGTCGGAAATATAACTGTTCTGCGCGTTTGTAAATACACACAGGAAAGTTTTATTGAGGCAGATAATCTAAATTCATATAGTCTCTCTTATTTTTTTTTTTTAGTACGACCTTTGCGCAACTGTCGCTTTCAATGCGCCAGTCGCGTCGACTTTGCTCGCATTTTTAAATACTAGTTGACAGTCAATTGTGCATGGAAGATAAAAGGGGAATAGAAATATGCATAATACGCGTAATCGCGCCAACTTGCATCAGTCATGTTTAATTAATTATTTCAACAGTAATAATGTAGTGATCTTTGCGCGTTATCGCCGCCGCTCCATCACGCATCGCTTGCGTGTGACGCGTTACGTTTGAAGCCATTGCACTTACATATGATATCTGGATAAATTAAGCCGCGCATTTTAGTGTATATATAGTGATGGATTTTGGGAGGGAATAACTATAATCTACTTTCTTATAAAATTCAAAAAATTATTGTAAAAAGGTAAACATGAATACACAATATAAAAATAAAAATTCTATTATTTTTTATTAGCGTCGTTGTACAATGATAATGTGACCCACATAATATTTCAGATATAGAAGTTTTGCAAAAACAAAAAAGTTGATTCTTATTTATTAGTATTTGTTTCAAAAGTAAGAGAAGTTTTACATTTTTATATCTTGAAGAAAAATATGAAGAAATGCATCGTGAGAATAAACTTTTCTCTGAAAATAAATGTAGTATTTATTTAAAAGAAAATAATAATATATCGATAGGTTAGGATTCTGAAAAATACATGAGAATATTCATAAATTTTTGTTACCTTGTCTACTGGTTGTGGACAAACATCGATAATGATACAATGTTAGAAGGATCAACCTTCTATATTTTATATAATAGTATTTGATAGCGCGTATATAGAAATATTCGAAGACAAATGAATATAGTACTTAAAGGTAACATTGACTAGACATTTACTTAAGAAGCACGAGCCTTTTTACGTTGTCTATGCTAAAAAATGTACGGAATATACTATTATTATGTTGATATACTGTCATTTTTTTGCATTAACTATAAATAATACGTAAACTTGTGTAAAGTATCTTGTTTGTACGTACAGTGCGCTTTGGTACATTGTGTACTATAAGCGAGAAAGTCTCCGTTAGACAATATATCAACACAAAATTATAATTGGCAATTTATCGATGCAAATTCGGCGATATCGTTTGCAAGATTCTCGATTGTCAAGTTATAAATATTTTTCTACGGCTCGACATATTTATGTTTCAGCCAATATCATCTAAATAATTTCTCAAAATGTAGAAAGAAAGCTTTTAAAAGCTGATAAAAAGTTATTTCGTTAAAAATTGTATATTCCTAAGTGTGATAGTTCATTAATCGTATCTATTATATAAATATTGATTCTTTGATATCATGCTCGATTTTATTCATGCCGATCACACTTAAGTCTTTTAATCTAAGCGGCTATCTGGATAATAGATCAGTGGCGTAATCGCGTCCCATCCATCAATTTCTTCGTTAGATTGCGCCGCTCTCTTTTGCGCGTTCAACACCGTCGTGCTGTGTCTAGGGCTGCTAGGTGCGGATCTGCAAGTGACTTGTAGTATTCCGGGTGTACCAAAGAGGAAGGTTTTGGTTCCAGCTTGTAGAAGACAGGATTCGTTGCCAACAATCGGGTTAGTTTGTTGCGTCGGCGCGTTCTTGATGTTCAATAGCAGTGTATGTTCCATTAGTTCTGGCTGAGCCTCCTGATCGCAAAGCTTTTCGACGCAGGGACAGGAGTTGCTGGAAGATCTCCAGCTCTCCATACAGGACGATCGTATCGCGCACGAGGTTTTTGTCTTGCAAGGGCTGTTATCAACTATTGATTCTAATTGACTATTCGCTCTGGAGCTCTTTTGATCGAGCTGGTCCGAGCTGGCGAATCGCAAACGTTTCGGAGACTCGCTGGAACATCTCATGAAAGTCGATCTGACGAGAGATTTGTTCTTCAGAGAGCTTCGAGGTACCGAAGAATCGGTCGCGCTAGTCTTCTTGCTACAACCGTTTCGTTTGCTTACTCTTTCCTTGTTACGTTTGCTACGTAAAATCGGATCCTCCCCGATTAACCAGTACGTCAGACGTTCACCCTTGCCTTTCATGGAAATTACGCCGCGTTCTACAAGGCTGAATCCTCTCAGCTCGTCGAGCAATTGCTTCGTTTCGCTGCTACAGTGAATTTTAAGCGCTACGACACGCAAAATTAAATAATAATTAATAATAATTTATCAGAAAATACATTTTGTAGAATTTTAATTATTTGTGTATATGATTAATATTTTGTTTGATATTTGTTTGTTATTTTAAAAAGTAATTCTCAATAATAAGTACTCACGTAATCCTGTGGACTCCATGCGACTAGCCGTGTTCACTGTATCGCCGAATAAGCAATAACGTGGCATTTTAAGCCCAACTACACCTGCGCATACCGGTCCTGTATCGAAAGATTATTATTAAAAATTGTTTGAAATTAAAATTTCTTTTATTCAGATATTGGTTTCTGCTTTGAAGCATACCGGAATGAATTCCTATGCGAAGTTGCAATTTATCGAGCGGTCGGTGTCGAATAGTGAACTGTTTAATGGCATCTAGAAGGCACAATGACATGCTCGCTATCTCACCAGCATGTTGAATATTGTTTCTTATTGGTAAACCGCTTACCTATGAGCAGATAAAATGCGGCTGAGAGAGATAGGTGTATCCCTGTCGAGCTGGCTCCCCCCACCTTGCACAAATAAAAAAACCAATAGCGCAAAATTATAAACTATTTATGAGCTTTCATATTCCGCAAATTAAAATTTTTGAGCTCGTCACGCTGAGCATGAATTTAATGTTTTTTGTGGGGGGACTGAGTCGATATCGATCATCAATTAAGGGTTGTTTGAGGACTAAAGGGGTGAGCTTAAAAATCGAAACTATATCAGTTCAAAAGCTCATAAATAGCTCTTAATTCTACCGCAAAGATTGATTCAATATTTTATTTTAAGCGGTGAGGGGGGCTGAGTCGATATCGACTCAGCCCCCTCTTACGAAAAACATTAAAT